TACCATGGCAATTCCATCTTCGCTATTAATAACCTATGATCCGTTCCACATTCCGCGCCTCTTTTAACCCTTACATCCTTGATGTTGATGGCGGACTTTTTCTTTATCATGATATAATCTGTAATTGATTTTAATCTCCTTGTTTCCTGGGTTCATATGTACTTATGTTTTTCTTGGTGTTGGTAAAATCCGTTAGTGCTTATAATTCACATATAATTCTATTATTTTCTTCACGTCACCGTGTCTTCTCCGTATTGTCCTACGGTGTCATCATTATCTTTTTTCCCGCACTAATTCCTTTGCTTTAACTCTCTGTTTTTATTCATTCCGCTCCAACGATTCCATCGATGTTTTCTATCCCATTTCCTTTTACTTTGTTTCACTCATAACTAAAACGTCGAGATTCGTCTTTTTAAATTCTTGTAACTTCCTTATCTGCATTTCTCTATCCTTGAATACCCCTATGATCATTTTCTTCCTTTGTTTCTTCTTTATTCATTCTTCTCTCTGGTTAAGATTTTCAACGGTAGGTGCTGAGTCTTCGAATCAAAATATGGTGCCCCCTATCCGTTGGGACTCCCTATTAGTGAGGTGTGCATTACCATCCTGGGAATTGATTTTTCATTCTGCCTTTGACTTCTCTTTTCTCCCATTTTTTAGCGTGTTAGGTTGCTTAGATCTAACACCACAACCCCTTCATGGAGAACCTAAGATCCAGCCGTCCATTCTGGATCAGACGCTGCTGCCAGTTTTGGTTCGCCCCGGGTATTTTATTTCCCCGTTACCCACCATTATCTAATAGGTCTTCCCTTGTCCGCCACCCGGGGAGGCGCCGGATGGGAAAAACTGTGATCATAGTTCAAGCTAGGAAGTTAAAAATATGACTGATGCGCGATCTTCCATGGTAAACAAATAATTTTTTGTTTGTTTCAGATTATGCTGTAAAGATGATCAAAATACAAAATTACCTGATAAATTTTGAACTAGATCTAGCGCAGAACTAATTAAAAACATGACTGACAACACACGCGGCATGCTAGACTTCATAAATTTTCTAAATATTGAATCACCAATTTCTCCATTTTTTTGTATATCAACCATATGCGACAAATGTGCGATATCCATATTGACGGTCTTACCAACATGGTAGAAATAATGAGACAGTGCAGTTCGAGTAGTGCGGCATGGGTGTAATTTTTGATAAATGTAAGGTTCAGTTTTCCTTTATGCGCGTGCTTTTTTTTTGTTTTTATTTCTTTTTTTTTAAGATTAAGTTAATTTAGTTGATGTAGGTATAACGATATTAGTAAGTTTAAGTTTGAGTATGTCACTTTGTGTTCTTCGTAATTGGGCTTGTCCTGTGGAGAATTGAAATTGAAATAAATAAATAAATAAATATGCATATTTTATGTTGTTGTACAGCATATTGATTGATTGCTGTTTTCAAATATCGTAAAAATACATAGGCATTGCATTTGAAAAACAAAAGCTGCATCTATTTCCGGTTAAACTGGAAGTGATATCGGAAGTTTGAATAGGCAATCAGTTAGATCATAATGTCATATAAAATTATATTTGACAAATTTTTCGTATCTCGCAAAATAAAAGAGATATTGTGGTGACCCTCTTATATCGAACTCACTGTATATTGATCCAAATCTAAATTGGTATGAATACTGTGATCACCTTGCCAGTAGATATACCGTATATCTTCAAGTTTCTTAATCATCCATAAAGCCGGGGGTTTCTATTCATACCTCAATTATCTGTACAAATATTACCCAAGTGATTTTGAGACGAAACTTTGAATTGATCCTATAAAAACGTTAAAAGACATTCTAAGACTTTTGGGCAAACAAAATCAATGTTAATTGGTTCTTCGTGTAATTGGTTCTCTATAGACATCGCTCAAAATTAGATATACGGGAAAATGTGATTTATGTGGCGTAACAAGAAACGTCGTGTTTTAAATTAATCCTAAATATTCAGAAAGGAAATTAAAATTCGTTTCCATAATCCTTCCATGTATGTAATAAAACACCTTCGTAACAGAATCCAATATAATTAGCATTTCATGAAACAACATTTTTCAGAAGAATGCGTAGTGATTTCAGTATTTACTAATTAGTTTACAAATTAATTAATTTTCCCTTTACATTATTCAACTGGAATTTTGCGCTCAGTTCTTGAAAGTTTCGTTTTATAGATTCATAAAAAAATACCGATGGAGAAAATTACAGAATTCTAAAAGTGAAGCTTTTTTTAGGCGAAATTAAGCGCCATTCTGTTTCAACTGGAATGCTATAAAAACATACACAAACGACGGCCGTACGCCAGCTTTATTTGTATACAAAAAACGAGATTTAAATTATTTTAGTTTTCTGTGCAGTTCGATTCCTTTGTAAGCCCAAAGTAATTAAATGAGTGAATTTTTAATTTCTTGTGGTGTTAACGCTCTATATTGGATACACATTTGTATTTCTATACTGTACTTACTTGGTTTTTCATTTTTATTTAAAGTTGTTTTCACTTTTTTACCAAAGTATGTCCTTCTCATGATAATTAGTCGTCTCGTTTTGTTATTGTTTGCATACTTATAAATTATTCATAGGCATTCTTCGCGTTTGCTGTTCTTGCTGTATCATTTATACTGCCCGCCATAAGTACCTGAACCTGAATTTTCAGGAAAATTGTATTTATTTCGAAATAGGAAACAAGGAAAACATGATAGAAATACAACAAATTTGAACAACACTGATACATTTTTCTTTAGGATTTATATTTTTGTATGTGTTTGAGGATTAGGTGTTTATACAATTATAATAGCTGGCTGATCTTCTAATTCTAATTATGAAGTTAGTCATTTTAATTTTATTATCTTTTTTAGTTCTGATTGGTAGTTTAAGAATTTTTGATATAATTATTCGACCGGGATATAATTATTCGATCCATAATTTCAAAAGTTCGAAGATTGGGCTACTAGTTCAAAAGTTACAGCCCTTTGAATTTTCTTTCGAAATTGGTTTCTAGTCTATAACTTTTGATTGAGAAGTCTGATCGAAAAAGTACGAATTGTTTTGAATTCTACGCACCAAAATTAATACGAAAAAGTGTTTTCCCGAGAAATTTTGGTGCAGTCGATTTTTGGTAAAAAAGGAAGGTTATACACTGCCTTTTTTTGAGCCCCGAAAAAAAAAATTGCCTCAGATCGACCCGGAAAAAATTTTCTTATAGAATGTGGCCTGTAGAATCCATAATTTCAAACAGTTCCAAGATTGGGCTACTAGTTCAAAAGTTACAGCTCTTTGAATTTTTTTTCGAAATTGGTTTCTAGTCTATAACTTTTGATTGAGAAGTCTGATCGAAAAAGTACGAATTGTTTTGGATTCTACGCACCAAAAATAATAAGAAAAAGTGTTTTCCCGAGAAATTTTGGTGTAGTCGATTTTTGGTAAAAAAGGAAGGTTATACACTGCCTTTTTTTGAGCCCCGAAAAAAATTGTCTCAGATCGACCCGGAAAAAAAATTTTCTTATAGAATGTGGCCTGTAGAATCCATAATTTCAAACAGTTCCCAGATTGGGCTACTAGTTCAAAAGTTACAGCCCTTTGAATTTTTTTTCGAAATTGATTTCTAGTCAATAACTTTTGATTGAGAAGTCTGATCGAAAAAGTACGAATTGATTTGGATTCTACGCACCCAAATTAATAAGAAAAAGTGTTTTCCCGAGAAATTTTGGTGTAATCGATTTTTGGTAAAAAAGGAAGGTTATACACTGCCTTTTTTTGAGCCCCGAAGAAAAAATTGTCTCAGATCGACCCGGAAAAAATCTTCTTATAGAATGTGGCCTGTAGAATCCATAATTTCAAACAGTTCCAAGATTGGGCTACTAGTTCAAAAGTTACAGCCCTTTGAATTTTCTTTCGAAATTGGTTTCTAGTCCCATAACTTTTGATTGAGAAGTCTGATCGAAAAAGTACGAATTGTTTTGGATTCTACGCACCAAAATTAATAAGAAAAGGTGTTTTCCCGAGAAATTTTGGTGTAGTCGATTTTTGGTAAAAAAGGAAGGTTATACACTGCCTTTTTTTGAGCCCCGAAAAAAAAATTGTCTCAAATCGACCCGGAAAAAAAATTTTCTTATAGAATGTGGCCTGTAGAATCCATAATTTCAAACAGTTCCAAGATTGGGCTACTAGTTCAAAAGTTACAGCCCTTTAAATTTTCTTTCGAAATTGGTTTCTAGTCCATAACTTTTGATTGAGAAGTCCGATCGAAAAAGTACGAATTGTTTTGGATTCTACGCACCAAAATTAATAAGAAAATGTGTTTTCCCGAGAAATTTTGGTGCAGTCGATTTTTGGTAAAAAAGGAAGGTTATACACTGCCTTTTTTTGAGGCCCGAAAAAAAAATTGTTTCAGATCGACCCGGAAAAAAATTTTCTTATAGAATGTGGCCTGTAGAATCCATAATTTCAAACAGTTCCAAGATTGGGCTACTAGTTCAAAAGTTACAGCCCTTTGAAATTTTTTTCGAAATTGGTTTCTAGTCTATAACTTTTGATTGAGAAGTCTGATCGAAAAAGTACGAATTGATTTGGATTCTACGCACCCAAATTAATAAGAAAAAGTGTTTCCCGAGAAATTTTGGTGTAGTCGATTTTTGGTAAAAAAGGAAGGTTATACACTGCCTTTTTTGAGCCCCGAAAAAAAAATTGTCTCAGATCGACCCGGAAAAAAAATTTCTTATAGAATGTGGCCTGTAGAATCCATAATTTCAAACAGTTCCAAGATTGGGCTACTAGTTCAAAAGTTACAGCCCTTTGAATTTTCTTTCGAAATTGGTTTCTAGTCTATAACTTTTGATTGAGAAGTCTGATCGAAAAAGTACGAATTGTTTTGGATTCTACGCACCAAAATTAATAAGAAAAAGTGTTTTCCCGACAAATTTTGGTGCAGTCGATTTTTGGTAAAAAAGGAAGGTTGTACACTCCCTTTTTTTGAGCCCCGAAAAAAAAATTGTCTCAGATCGACCCGGAAAAAAAATTTTCTTATAGAACTATAGTTTCAGAAATTCTACAAACTTACTTGAAACCATTTTTTTAATGTTCTGAGCATTTTCCATTGAAACTACGTAAATTTTTGAAATGTTAGAATTTTCCTTTGAAACCGTCATGGAAATCTCGCTTTATAGGGCCATTGAATCTCAGAGCAAAGTCTTACTGCTACATTTTCCATAGGAAAATTCATTATATACAAATTAAATAAGGCTCCATCTACGTTAACATTATTTTGGAAAAAATGCCATTTAACAGTGTTCGTACCCCACAAACCACTTATTATACAAGCTGTTTTGCATTAACGGTACTTACCCATATATCACAACAACTTCCCATGGATGTATTCAGAATGTTCAGTCACGTCATGGTTCGGCGTCTATGAGAAAAATAATAAAAATTCAATCAGTCCGTTTTTAATTATAATCTTTTTTTTTACATTACCTCAATTAGAACGTTCCTTGAAGGTCTACATGAAGTAAATTAAGTAACAATGCATAGACGTCCTTTAATGTACGTTTCACAGATGTCCATTTAATGTACTGCGCGTAATGGGACACGCGAAAATTAGAAATTCTGGCTAGCAAATCATTTCATACTTAAGTAACTGGAATTTGGGGTTAGGAGAGCTTTTGTAATTTGTTGCCACCATGCACTTGAAAAATTGTATCTATTGATCAATGGCAATATATGTTAGGTGTTTTATAAAAGATAATTTTTAAACGAAAACTGACCAGGATGTAGCGATATTGTAAAAGTATTTTCTTAAAGTTTAGTCCACTAAAGGACATCCATGGAATGGATATTTAAAATGTCACTGAAACGTTTCAGTTAGAACATCTAAAACGAACACCCGTTTTAGATCCATGGACAATGCACATTCATACAAATAATGGACCTAAAACGTACCTACGTCGGTTGCTATATGGGGAATGTGCAAAATTTTGAATTAGGCCGTATTCTGAAAGATATTTTGGAAAATATCGCGGTAAATTCGCTATTTGAACTTGTGAGGTCCCTAATTCCCATGTGAAAACCATTTGGGTCACACGTGGTATGATCGTATCCTCTAAATGCACAGTTTTGCGCGAATCCTCTTAATTAACGAGAAGGGAAGAGACTATATGCATTTCAGTTTCGCTAAAAGTGAGTTTGGACTTACATTCTTGGTTATAGTCGCTTTTCTTCATTATTATGGAGAAACAAACCATTAGCTACGGCATTCAAAATTTGATTTACTTGCTTGCGTGCCTTTCTCTCCACCGACTTGAGTCTAAAGACCATGTCTTCTTCCCCAGGTGACAAATGTGCTCTAATTGGTGGAAATGAAGGCAGAATCTCCTAAACACTGCGCTGTTGGAAACGCATGCCACGCTTACATCTCGACATTTTGTAGAATGCACTGTGCAAAAATTACTGTGTTCAACAATTTTAGTTCATGTTATCAGTTTACATCCCGTTTGCTTAATGCCGTCTTTAAAGTGTTGCTAATAGCGGAAGTGATCGTGTTGGGAACATGTTTCTAACACGATTAAGAGATGTTTTTCGGCGTCTTTTGCTTAAACAAGTGTCGTCGTTAGGCCACAACTTGTCACGTGTGGACGCTAACAGCGCAGAGGTGGAATCTGCAAGTATCCGTAATCCCACACAAACGGATAGCGGATATTATAGAAACTACGATCATTTACCTAATCGTCCGAGGCGAACCAACTCTTCCCAAATTCCTTGTCTTCCAACAAACGAGGGTCCGCCCATACCTTCGCCGCCGCCTCCGCGGAGACTACTAGAGCTGGAACCAGCAGAGGAACAGATCAATGTCGGAGCCGCGCCACTTGCTCAAGACGAAACAAAATTGCTACCCTACTCGCCCAAGGAATACCTATCGCCCGGGGTAAATTTTAACTTCTTTGAATTCCAGCAAAATCGGCTGAAGGCGCTCAAAGTACCTTCAGCTGATATGGATATTGGTAGCACTTGTAAATAGTTTGCATACTATACATAGCTATCGATTTCAGTTTACTTGTATGTGGATCGATAATGTTGCATTTGGTTGTTGTCGAATGTTTTACCCTTTAATCATTCTGTGTATTAAATTATGTCTAATCCTTCAGCTGTCGAGCAGCTCTCTTTCTACTAAAAAGTCTGTTTTTAGTGCAAATTGCAAATTCACCGACGTGCTCAAAAATAATTTAGGTTATAATACATAAATGTCAACTGAGATCGTTGCGAAAAAAAAATTAGGTCGATTGTATTCTACTGATCCATCTTGTAGGCTAACATCAAAAAGTCTGATGCCAACAAGAAGGTCGAGAGATTTGACGAAATACCTAACGAATTCGAATGTTGCTTTTGCACTTCAAAGGTAGTATTGATCCTTTTAATATTTTCTTGCCGATTGCTTAATGACTCATTGAGGCTTTTAGGGATTCATTTACTGTAAATAAAAAATGACCAGACATACAAATTATAGCTGCCACGTGCATTTTTTTCCTCATTTCTTGCCAGTACACGATGCATGTGCACGAGAGAATAAGGCAATCATGCTCTACTTTGCTTATATACTTAGAAATTAGTTAGATTTCTCCTGGAAGCATTAACTAACGTTTAAGTTTCCAGTGGCCGATAGACTCAGCACCTTTGTCATACAACATACACACCTTTCCTCCGCTTTAATTTTGATCTTTAATTTCCTTTTCATAGTTTTCATTCGTGTTGTGTCTAATAACTTCAAATCAAAGGGCTGAAAAAGCTCCTGGTTAAAAAAAGCACAGTCAGCAATAAACATATTTGAGTAGTACTGCGTTGCAGGATTGTAACGATGGAAGATGCCGAGGTGAATGTATTCCGCTTCATGCCAAAAATGTCTAGTAGAGTTTCCGTTGCCATTTCTACTTTCAAAGTGTTAATATCAGGTGAGTTACCAATCAGGGATTACTCTGGGTAAAAGCGAGAGTTTTCTTTTCTAAATTGGACCGTTTCCGCGTGAGATGCGTGGCTAATTAAACTGAGTAAATCGTGTGGCCTTGTTTTTTGTAATTGTCTATTGGTTATTAATATTGTTTTGTTTTCACAAGCCGACACTCATAAAGTAAAAAAAAATCAAAACAAAAATACATCTACACAAAACATGAAAAATGTGTCACGAAGGTTTGTAGAAAAGTACCTAATTTGAATTTTGCACGCAAGCTTGAATCTAAACACATGTGCACGTAGTTTAAATTAATGCCTCGTCCATGCACTGTTGTAGAATAGAATTTTTTGAACTTAAATGTATAGAGGTTACGTGTATTGAAATTTTGCCAAAGTAATTTGGGGGTAAATCTCTAAGTGTAGGACTTTCTGGAATATACTCACAGTTTTGACATAGATTTCCATTTAGGATTATAAGGAATTCGTCGACGCAGAAAACCTGATGCCATTAGGAACAAGTGATTTCCGAAACCCGGTTTGTTTAGAAATGAAAACGTTACGAAACGGAATGACCGACTTCGTGAATCCTTTTGGAGATTTTGACATTAATACCAAACCTGCTTTTCAAAATGCCATCAACAGTGCCGATATGGGTAGCATGGATAGCTCAGATACCTTTGCGAGTTGCAACACCCATCCCTACCACTCCCAAGGTGACCTAACTTCAAACGTAGCAGATCCCACGTGCGCGATTGATAGCAACCTGTACGTAAACCCTTTAGACAAAAGCGTAGATAATAGCCCCACAGCACCCCCACCCGGAATCAGCCTAATATCGGCCGTCAAAAAATCAGCGTCCGGAGACACCGGATTAAGAAGCTTGGGGACGACGCCAATTGAAGAAAGCTACAGAGGCTTCGGTGGCATTGACCGTGGAAGTCGGGTGAGTCTAAACGATTCGCCTCAACCCAAGCATAGAAAGACGCGTTTTCAACCGGTTAGTATAATCATCGACGCGACCATTGCTCAACCCTCAACTTGCAGACTAATCGACAAAGAACACGATTCGGTAATGCATTTGAACGCCAGTCCCAAGAGAGCTTAGAAGGTAAACGTAATTCCAAAAAGTCCTTCATGACGAGCAAAGGTTTTGCATCAGCCAGCAGAATACTAAATCAGCACCTCTTCGGTTTGCACGCGCTCAGCGGATCGAGATCAGGTAACTACCATGACTTATAATTTCAAAATCTCGCCATTATAAAATCTGTAGGAAAAAATGGCGACAGCAAATCTTCCCTATCCGTAGATTCCATGGACAGTCGCACCAGTTCGCCAATGGAACACCATCGTCGCTCAAAGTCGATTTTAAAGAAATCGGATGGAAGCTCGCACAAAAACGGGGACCCCGAAAGTGAACGACTCATATCGGATAGCACCTCGGGTATTGATGTTGGGTCGGGCAGCGAGTACTCATCACCCAGTAAACGCCTATCGTCGCCGCCCGTTAAACACCGACCCCATCAGAAACTCACAAGATCTCTTCCTTTATCCGGTCAGGCCGACTATGATAGAAACCGAACTTTAAAATCACCTTTGTTTTTACTTGATGATATTATTAGTAAAGATAGACAAAATGACTATGTGATAGATAAACTGAAAGAGTGTAGTGGTAGTGTACGTGACTTACCTTTATACATATGTCCACCGCCACCACCAATGGATCATTCCCCCACCGAAGAAACGAGGTTACTTTTACATACGCCGACTCCAGTTGTTGTTTCTACACCAAGACAAGCTAATTATCTTTCAAAAGGACCTGATCCGTCCTCGTAGCAATTACAGGTGAGTCCCAAAAAACGACCTAAACTATCTAGTTTAGTTATCGAATCGGCCGCTGCAAAGGAGAAATTAACCCGTCCTGATCATTGGTTCTAAAACTTTAACTTCTCGGAAAAGCTTATCTCAAAAAACTTTGGACGGGTTTTGTATAGGTACTAGCAGAATAGAAATCCTGGAAAGGATAAAATAGTCTCTGGTGTCTTCGTGAATTCTATTGATTTAGAAGTCAGATTCAAAAAACGAAGTGTGTGAAAAAGGGAGGTGAGCGGGTACTTAAATCTTATTGAAAATTAGATTATGGATGCAACTATTGCAGTAACAAAAGTACTTGCGGCTATTAGATACCAGAAACAAAGATCATACTACACTAGATAGACAACGCTTGTATGAATTTCAGTCACTCACTCAGAGTAAGTCGGCTTGCCCGTAGGAGCTATATACAGTACGTTCGAGATAATAGGATCACCCCAATATCTTTTATTTGGCATGATACGAAAAATGTTTCAAATATCATTTTATATATCCGATCGCATATTGAAACTTTCGGTTCCATAGGAAATCAAAGCAACTTTTGTTTTTTTTTCAAATGCAATGACTATGTTTTTTTAAGATCTTTGAAAAGAGCAATCAATTTGCTGTACGACATAAAATCTGCATATGGTTGATAAAAAAAAATTACAAACGTGATTCAATATTTAGAAAACTTATGACATCTAGCATACCGTGTGCTGCCAGGAAGCGCGGTATCTGTTGTGTCACACGGGGAGATCTAAGAGCATTTTGTTTAAGTATTCCACGTTACTCATACTATTCTTTTGTTTTTAATAATGTAATTTGTTGAAGACTATACAAAATCGACTTTATCTCTGAAACACTTAATTTGCGGGCCTATGTTTTTGCCTTAGTTTCATGAGGATCAAGTATCCGACCTTTTTTTTTGAAACACTCTGTATTTAAATACACACTTAGACAATTTTTTATTCCCTTTTTATATAAAACAATAAACGAACGCTTGAATTTGGCTGATTGATATATTGAAATTACGGAATGAAATTTAAATTCTTGAAAAAAAACTATTATTGAATCTACACCAAATTCAATAGGCTCTTCAATTTACCCATTACTGTTTATATTACAAATTTAAAATTGGTTAAATCCTTTAACAACGATCAATTGAAAGTTTTTACGTTACATTTTCTCAAATTCGTTTCTTTCATTAAACCTTAAAGGTATCCAATAATTACTTTGATATCTTAAACATAAATAAAGGGAACAAACCCCCAATCAAGAATGATCGATTAAATTGATTACTGAGTCATCCACAGATAAATTGATAATACGGACAAGAATTCGCAGGTATTGGGCCAAGTACAAGAAAACATATATTAACGGAACACTTACATTGGAATAAAGTTAGATGGCGAGGCCAAGAAGTTGAAATCAATCAAGGAAGACCTCCCAAGCCGCAGGGCTCGGCATATAGTTAGTTGAAACTTGAATAGTGCTTGAAGGGCCTCGATCTACTCGTCATCTGCTTCTATACCAGGTACGGTGCTTAAATGACCAACCGCTTCAGACGGAAGTGAGGGTCTCCAACAACATACTTGATCATAACCAGAGACGGCAAAGATACTGAGTAGGTACTGATGCTAACAAATTAGTTGAATGGGATGATATAGCCCCTTTGTTGAGGAATTGTTCCTTGATATCGCGTTCATGACTCGTTGATCCATTTCATAGCAAATGGCCGCTCGGTATTAGCAGGTGAAAGGGTGTCGGCACTCGTGTAAGTACCTATCGGTGAATTTATCCCAAGTTTACAAACTTGTACGTCGAACCAGTTTCGGGTTTGTTTCGTATCCGTATCCGTAATTTAAAGTGGAACTTACAATTAAAGCTAAAATTAAAACCCTAAAAGAAATCAAAGGTAACCCTCCTTCGTTGATGTCACAAAATTTACGTATCTCTTAAATAAGAGGGCTAATTGTAGATGAAGTAACAATTGTCGATGGAAAAATTGACAAAAAGTGTAACTAAATATGGTTCTCGACAGAAGGAGGAAAATGAGTCTACAACCACTGTGATAAATTACCTTGTTAAATTCCAATAATGGAGGAAGCCATCTATTCGAAAGTTACGAGGATCTTTCAGCAAGTAAATATACCGTATAAGCAATGGAGAAAATTAATTGCTGCAATATCTTTACATTGCAATGAAACACCTTGAAGTGGCTTACTTCCTTCACAAATTGCGAAGTCTTGCAAAGAATTTTCTACATTGGAAAAGCTTATTCTACTATTGAAAACCTTCACAACAGTTAAAGGTACTTACCTAATATATTGAGCGTTTTTTAACTATTTCGATCAAAAAACCATTTGAAAATATTGCTCTGAATAATATATATTTTAGGAAACTTACAGTAATGTTAATTTTTTCAGCGCATTATCCATCTGTCTGTCCGCCTGCCTGTTGCTAGAGAGTGCAATGATAGGACAGTTTGGCAAAAAATACATGATTGCAAATGGTTCCTGTACGACGTAATATCATATTCATTTCGTCCCTTCATACTACTTTTTACTGAAAAGTTCTCTTGAACAGAAGAGTTTGTAATCGATTGACTGTATCTCGTCATAAAAAGAATTAGAAAAATGTAAAAATGCGCTTTGCAAGGTTTTGTTTTAGATACCTACATTTAATTCTTGTGCGTTTTTGATACAACACAATGACATCAAGAACTTTAGAAGTATTAGTAATCTTTCTAAAATTTTGAGAAAAGGATTACCCTTTTTGGTACAATGAAACTCTTCAAGAAGCTGGGGTGTACATTTTTGGCACAGTAAGGAACGTGGAAATCTGTAGATTTTATCGAGTCATTGCTGTCATTCACTTTTTGCAAAAATTTCAGGCTTCGACTTCGGACGAATGATACTTTTCTTTATAATAAAAGCCCCATTTAGGCTTTAGCATATTTTCGGAGCTATGTGTGTAAGAGCTCTTGACATTTACTATTTAGTGTAGTATGACTTTACTAAAAGTGATTTAATAGCTTTTTTTCAATCCAAGTAGTCCATGAGATTGGTTAGTGTGACCCAATGGGCAAATTTGTAGCTTGTGTGCTCAGGATTTCTATGTAACTATTGATTATATTAACGCTTTCTATTTTTTTCAGAAAAATAAGAGGAATGTAGAAAGCAATAGAATGGGAACGAAAGTAGAAGAAACTATAATAAATCATTGTGTGCACAAATCATATTTTGGATGCTAATATAATTTTGTAATGCGTTTTCAGCGAAATGGAAAAAGATTCCGAATTATCTACCTGTTACTTGTTACATTAAAAATAAAACCTAAACTTAACCACAAAAAAATTTAAAAAATTGTTTTTCGAGCAATATATATAAATTTTTTAATTGCGCACGCCACGTTGCTGCTAAAGTGATTAAAATAAAATTGCACAAGTGGTTATTGATAGTTATATAATGAAATGCTTGAACTTTATTAATAAACGCAGTATTAAGAATATGTGGGGTCCTAAGATGTTTCGTTTCTCAAAAATGTCAATTCGAAAGATGTTTGTGATAGACCGGAATACCTATATCTTATAGTTTTCTCATTATAGCAATATCTTTTCAGTTTTTGTAAAATAAATTTATAAGTATACTTGTTAAAGCGTAAATGAGGATTGTGATTGGACAAGCTTATTTTTATCTGTGATTTACAATTTGTATTACTTACTTTAAGCGAATACGATGTACAGTGTTAAAATTTATTGTAAACTTAAGTTAGCTTTTTTGCATTCATTAATGTTAGAGTGTATGTATCTTTCTTCCAAAAGTGGATACGTCACTATGTACCTACTGATAATTGAAATAGAAATTTTAGTCACTTCATTTCAGACAGCAACTTTGTTTGAAGGGAACAAGCGGATTACCTATGCCTAAAAAACACACTATTAAATACGACTTGCTCCCGAAAGGATTAGAAACTTTTTCCATCTGTATGTGTACCTATTCGTTTCCCCGCCACTAAGTGGCGATCTTACACATTTTTAAAAGTTTCGATCCTTTAATTGCCATTTCCCCTTTACGTTCTAGGCAAAATATTGTTTAATAAAACTGAAATAACTGTTAGAAACATGTAAGCGGCTTTTAATTAGCTGCATTTGATCAAATCCCAATTTCTTTCTACGCAAATTATGCAAGGCAGACTCGGCGCATCACTGGCAAGAAGAAAAACGAATAAACAAAGCAATCAACAAAAAGCACCATAGATTACTATACATTGCTTGGCTTGACCATGGACAATCGCTTAACAATATTATATTTTGTATAAATGCTAAAGCTAACGCCGAAATTGTAAAATTGATTTAAAAGACAGTGAATAAATTTTCATTATACTATCGTACATTTTGTACCATCGAATAGTCAGTTCTGCCCATTATGTTATTATTATATGCAGCATAGACATATCAGAATTGTAAATGTTTGTTAATAAAACTAATTGTTCCATTTTGGGACCTTTTGATTTGCTTTTCAGGATAAGACAACAAATAAACCATCGCTCCAAAAGGGTGCTCATTTCACTTAGATGTGTATTGTGGAATTATAAGTAAAACTATGAAGATTAAGCCTTGTAGTACAATGCTGAGATTAATTATTGATAATTATTGAAGAACTTTAAAGAGTGTGGCACGGTGTGGCACATATTAGCCATGGACACCGTTACCATCACCACAGATATACGTAAATTTACGTTTATCTGTGCCATCACGGAACAATGACTCCAGTTTGCTATTTTTCAATCTACTTTATGATATTCCGATCAGAAGATTCACTTACCCTCGGAGATACTATTACACGAAATACAAAATAGCTAAAACTATGCTCATTGAAGAAGATATTACCTACATTTCGTCATTTCCCCAAAAACTGTTATTCTTACAAAAGAAAGGAATAAGTAATATGTTTTTTGTAGGCAATGTCGTAAGCTACAAATTTGATTAAGTGCCACTATTTCTTTGGTTAAAAGTAACAGTTAGCGAGATTTTTGTGAAAAACTGTTTATACCTATTGACCATTGAGCTTAGTTATGAAAGTGGTCTAGAGATAATGTTCAAAAAGAACGGTAAGCTACATATAGTTAATAGGTGTGTGAGGAGGAATAGAGAAATGAAAGGTACTGATGATTTTCGAAATATCGCTATAAACCAGAACTATTCGTACTTTTTCGATCAGACTTCTCAATCAAAAGTTATAGACTAGAAACCAATTTCGAAAGAAAATTCAAAGGGCTGTAACCTTTGAACTAGTAGCCCAATCTTGGAACTGTTTGAAATTATGGATTCTACAGGCCACATTCTATAAGAAAATTTTTTTTTCGGGTCGATCTGAGACAATTTTTTTTCGGGGCTCAAAAAAAGGCAGTGTATAACCTTCCTTTTTTACCAAAAATCGACTGCACCAAAATTTCTCCGGAAAACACTTTTTCTTATTAATTTTGGTGCGTAGAATCCAAAACAATTCGTACTTTTTCGATCAGACTTCTCAATCAAAAGTTATAGACTAGAAACCAATTTCTAAAGAAAATTCAAAGGGCTGTAACTTTTGAACTAGTAGCCCAATCTTGGAACTGTTTGAAATTATGGATTCTACAGGCCACATTCTATAAGAAAAATTTTTTCCGGGTCGATCTGAGACAATTTTTTTTTCGGGGCTCAAAAAAAGGCAGTGTATAACCTTCCTTTTTTACCAAAAATCGACTGCACAAAATTCAAAGGGCTGTAACTTTTGAACTAGTAGCCCAATGTTGGAACTGTATGAAATTATGGATTCTACTGGCCACATTCTATAAGAAAAGTTTTTTCCGGGTCGATCTGAGACAATTTTTTTTTCGGGGCTCAAAAAAAGGCAGTGTATATCCTTCCTTTTTTACCAAAAATCGACTGCACCAAAATTTCTCGGGAAAACACTTTTTCTTATTAATTTTGGTGCGTAGAATCCAAAACAATTCGTACTTTTTCGATCAGACTTCTCAATCAAACGTTATGGACTAGAAACCAATTTCGAAAGGAAATTCAAAGGGCTGTAACTAGCACTAGGGAATGCAATACCGGGATCGCGGGTTCTCGAAATACCGGGATCCCGCAGCATTTTTGCGGGATTAGTCCCGCACATAAATGGGACTGAGGAATTTGGCGATCAAGGGGACGACTCTGTGTACTTTGTTAATGAAACGCATAACTGAGATGTTCATTTTTAAATAATTGTTAAACTTTTTTTCGTTAAAAATGTACTATGATTTTTGAGGCACTTTAGAAAAGTTCACTTTTTTTTGAGTTCTAAGTTAAGGTGAAGGTACTTTTTTGTTAAATATAATACCGGGATTGAGATTTTGCTGCTGGATTGCATTCCCGAAATAATGACATTAAAAATTGAAACATACATAAACAAAGTCAAAGTTAAAGATCACAAGTGCTTTTTGTCGTTGTTATGCTGTGTTTCGAGACTGTATTTATTTCGTGACACAAACTATATTTATTAAACTATTTTCTTTGTTTATGAATAAACCAAGGTTATCAGTAAATGGTTCTAGATCCACGCCATCTATGCGTAGAGTTCTACAATAAATGAACCAGTGTAATAAAAACAAGTGATTGTATGAACCGTGAGATGTATGAAAAATGACGTGAAATGGGTATGTTTAGCAAACATAACCATACTTTTAACGTTACTGTTCACAAAAATGTCCAAAATTATAGCCCATGATATTAACGAAAAGGTACGATCAGCAGATGTCCTCACACAAAATGACTGTACTTTTGATTTCTTACTACTCTCCAAACCTGTCCTGCAAGCGCTAAACGAAGCCGGATTTTACAAACCGTCTCCGATTCAACTGAAAGCGATTCCTCCAGGCAAATGTGGATTAGGTAGGTGTACGGATTTGGCAAGTTTACCTTAAGTTACCCTTTCAGATTTGATACTGCAGTCCAAGTCGGGCACTGGAAAAACTCTTATATTCGCAATAATCGCACTTGAAATGATACAAACCGCAATCGACCATCCACAAGTCCTAATCATCGCCCCAACACGAGAAATCGCGGACCAAATTTGCAGTGTGATCACAGCTATTGGCAGACATATACCCGATTTGAGTGTCGGTTTATTTATAGGCGGACTGCCTTACAAAGAAGATGTGCAACGGTTAAAGAAGTGTCACATTGCAGTAGGAGCCCCCGGACGGATAAAGCATCTAATAGAAGCGAAAGAACTCAATGTGAACTTTGTGAAACTGTTCGTACTCGATGAAGCTGATAAATTAATGGAGGAAGACTTTCAGAATGCCATTAACTATTGTTACCACATGCTCCCCGAGCGAAAACAGTTTCTGGCGACTAGTGCTACTGTACCGGCCGAATTGAAGACGTTCTTAGAGCGTTACATGAACTCTCCTACATTTATATCGCTCGAAGTGAATAGCCCCCTCCTTTTAGGATTGCGTCAATTTGTGTCGGTGTTACCAAACAGGAGCAATGTAGTTCAGCAGACTAACGCCAAGACTGATGATGTGTGTAGAATATTGTCGAAAGTGAGCTTTACTCAGTGTATCATTTTTTGCAATTATCAACAAAGAGCGGAAACTGTGAGCAATATAATTAATCAAAGGGGTTGGAAGTCGATTTTTATTGGCGGTTCTCAGTCTCAAGAGACCCGCCTGAAGGTAATGCATATGTTGAAGAATTTGGAATGTAACATTTTGTTGGCGACCAATCTAATTGCGCGAGGAATTGATCTGTCGAATGTGGATCTTGTTATTAATTACGATATTCCTAGTGACACTGCAACTTACCTGCATCGTGTTGGTCGAACGGGGCGGTACGGTTCTGTAGGTGTGTGTGTTTCGCTCGTTGCATGTGACAAAGATCTGCTTGACCTGCAGTATATTCTTGGCGATATTGGTGGTGTCGAGTTGGGCATTGCTAAGCTCCCCATTGAATTGGACCAAGCGGTGTGGGAGGAGGAGTTGAGTTCCTTTGAGCAAATTTACGGTTTGGTTGATCCCCAAAGGGAAAAGGTGGATTGGAATTTTCTCGAATCGACGACGAAGCTTCACAAGGGGCGCAAAAAGAAGAAGAAAACTTCAATTTCGCAACCAGCTGTGGAGGTTGAAAGTGCGAAGGAGGCAGATTTTGATGGCGTAAGTACTGATGACCTACTGAAAAGCTTGGCCAAAGGTTTAAGAATTGAGCCACCAGCTACCCTACCAAGTGTTGACAAACCTGCAGACACAGAACCCGTTCCTGAACAATCTACAAAGAAGGCCAAACATAATGAGCACTTACCCCAAGCAACTTTTCCCAATCACCCCATTGAGGACCCATATGTTGGAATCAGTACAGCTGACCTACTGCAACAATTCGCACAGGGAAAGAAAATTGAGCCTACTGTAGCTACCGAAGAATTGGTAAACCCGGCCTCTCTGTACCCTTGGGTACCTGTGGAGGAATCGGTTTTATCAAAAAATGCAAATGGCCTCAACTTGCTTGATTCTGACAATTCAGTTTGTAGTGACCAAGAGGTGGACATCTCGAATGAAATGTTGAACAAAAAGGTTACTTTAACCAAAAATCTTGCACTTTATCACACTGCAAACTTGATCAAGAAATGTGAAAATTTGGATTTTTCCGTTACAAAAGAGGCGGTTCAGTCGATACGGGATTATTTCAACGTTTGTGAGGAGAAAACAAGTGACCGGCTATCAAAGTTAGATGCTGCCACCAAAGATGTTCCTACTGAGAATTTACTGGAGCAAATGTCTTACTACAGCAACAAATTTAAGGCAGACAGCCTCGAAGACGTCCCCACAGAAAACATTTGCAAGGTCGCGTATGAGCACATACTTGGAGGAACCAAGGATTGGCGCAATCTCGTAGATGACAGCTACAAAAAGAAAAAAGAGCCTTCACCACCCGTAGAAACTGAAATAGATTTGGTAAACGCAACTGCACCATACGATTCAGATCACCAATGCAACACCATTGCATGGTACCAGGACATGTATGGGCATTATTATGATTATTATGAAAATCTTCTAACTGAAAATGCATCGACGTTTGAAGATGTACCAAGTTTTCGCGGCTGGTTTCACCAGTGGCAGTCTCAACTGAAGTCTGTTACAAGTTACGTTCAGCAGCATATTTACTTACAGGAAATGAACAATTTTCAATTTAATAATTATCAGAATTACTAGCTTTTAGTTTATAATTTATTGTAACATTATAATAATACACATTACAACAGTGCAAGACTTTAAGTAAATGTATTCACGTTGTCTAACTTTCTGCAGAGGAGAGTTGATATATTCTTACCATTATTGAGCTACAGAACCAATTATTTTGACTAACCATGCCTTTCTAGAGGGCTTTGGAGTTGTATTCCTATTGTGCACACTTTGTTCATCCACTATTTCAACAGTTGCAGTTCCTTAACTTTCTTTGGTGAATTATCTGAAAGGAACAATAAGCATAGGTGCAGAATGAGAAATGCTTTAGTCTGTGAGATCCAGTAATTTGAAATCTGGCTAAGATTTTCCCTCGTTTTGTTATTGAAGTAGGTGCCTAAATCAGAAAACTTTCGAAGATAAAACAATTAGGCTAGAGATCTGAGAGTAGATTTTTAAATATTTTTCAGTTTTTCAATTGCTAAAAGTATCTTCCATACCTAGCAAATTAGACATGCAACTTTCTTTAAATTTGAATGTTTACTACCTACTTTAGTTGAACGCCAGATTGCACTATTTCAACTAATGTAAAAGAAGGGGGAGCTTCAGGAAAATTTAAACAGCGGAAATTTCTCATTTTTTTCATTATACAAAATTTATTAAGTGCTTTAGCTTTAGTATACAGTGATATTCGTGTAGAAGTAGACATAGGGCGAATGTATTACACTAATTTCTATTGAAAATGTTAGTTGGTCGCTAACATTTTCAATAAAAATTAGTGTAATACATTCGTCTACTATTAGCCACACACTAATTAAAATGGAGCAATTCATCAACAATAGACATACGGATTTCCTATGACTACTTTTACATGATATAAAGTTTCCTGAAATACGCCTAATTTTATGCAACCAAAATAACTTTTTAAAACATAAAGATCTGGCTGCCATATTAATTATTAATTTGAATATTGTTGCTTTAGCTTCACAGAAAATAAATCTCTTAAGCTCCTTTAACTGTTATCGGCACTATGCCAATTGGAAATATCAACTTTTTCTTTAGGTGAGCACGCGAACCGAAATTAGAATAGATAAGTCAAAGCGATAATATTCAAATTAATTAATATGATAGGCAGATCCCCTTTACTCATCTTGAGGCAGATCCTAATTTGTTGTAGGTAGTTACTTTGGTTGCATAAAATTAGGCGTCTTTCAGGAGACCTTTTATCATGTAAAAGTAGACATATAGTATAGTCCAAGTTAAATAGCTCTAAAATAATTTATTTTCAAAAAAAATTAGTTACCGGTCGAAACCGGGTTTTTCAGGCAGGTGAAATGATTAGAAATTGGGAAAAAATAATTAAAACAACTGAATTTTTCCGCGGCTGAAATCACGAGGGTTGAAAGGGGTGGAATTCCACTTTAAAGTGGTGTTTTGAAAATTGTGGCAAAACTATTAATTTTAGACGAAAATTTTCAATGTAAAAGTTATAGAGATTTAAAAAAATGAGCAACTTTTGTATCTGCACTATTTTCACATCACCTCCAATTTACCTAGAAAAACCGGAAAAACTGTTTTTTTCGTTTTTTATTCTTATTTTGGCGAAAAAAAGTCGTAGGGGTTTGAAATTTGGAGGAAACATAGCTTGTTGTATGATAAAAAAAAAGATAATTTGTTTCCAAGATCTCACGATTTCTGAAAAAAACCACCTCTTTTTCAAGGGGATGAAAAATCTATTTTTTTCATCGTATAGAGGTGCGCGGGGTAGTAAAATTTTCGTAAGGATTTACATTTTAATAACCAAAAATAAAAAATATTATGCTATTAGAAAAATTTTAAGAAAAGCGGCAAAAACTGGGAGTATAGTTCTAAGATATAAGTACCGTTTTTGACATAGTAGGTAAATAGGTAGCTTTTTTTGCAACTAAATTAACGTATTGGATCCGCGCTACTAAAAAGTTATTGAAATCTGTCTTCTCTCTCCTCTTTAATGTTGCTAAAATATTTTCTTTTGTTTCCTAGTGCCCAACTGCTTTAATTAAAACATCTTTATTATTCCTTTTTTCTGCATTTTTACCGCAATAAAGGCAATTCGAAGTAAAATCGAATTCTTTTGCTTCATGAACAATTTGTTTTTGTTCACTAACTTTTCTTTATGCCTGTTTTACAACTGGTGGGATTTAGCTGGGCCTGTTGATCGTTAATTTACAGGAATTATAAATAAAATCCTCACGAAGTTTATTCCAGGTTTTACATCTCAAATCATTTACTTTGACCGGTAAAACTAACGTTCTTATTGCAGATTTTGCAAGTTTATCAACAGGCCAATAGGCCATAACGTAATTGCATCAGCTATATAAAACAGGCAGTAAGAAGAGTCAGTGAACAAAAACAAATTGTTCAGGAATCAGAAAGCAAGATAATTCGATTTTATTTCGAATTGCTTTTATTGCGGTAAAAATGCAGAAGAAAGAAATAATAAAGACGTTTTAACTAAAACAGTTGAGCGTAAGATAACAAAAGAGAATTAATTAAAGAGAAGCAAGAAGACAGATTTCGAAAAACATCCAACACGTACACGTTGATTTATCATGTCAAAAACGGTGTACCTATATCTTAAAACTGTTTTCCAGTTTTTGGCGATTTTCTCGAATTTTTGCTATAGGAATAATATTTTTTGATTTTTGTTTATTAAAATATAAGTCTTCCCGAAAATTTTAGTACCCCGCGCACCTTTGTACGATGGAAAAAAATAGATTTTTCATCCCCTTGAAAAAGAGGTGGTTTTTTCAGAAATCGTGAGATCTCGGAAACGGTTAACTTTACGGTCCCAAAAAATGGTCTCCTTTTTTATCATAAAACAAGCTATCTGTACGCCAAATTTCAAACCCCTACGACTTTTTTTTCGTAAAAATAGGAATATAAATCGAAAAAAAAAAAGTTTTCCGGTTTTTCTGGGAAAATTGGAGGTTATGTGAAAATAGTGCAGATACAAAAGTTGTTCACTTTTTTATTCTCTATAACTTATATTGAACATTTTCGTCTAAAATTAATAGTTTTGCCACAAATTGCAAAATACCTACCAGTTTCCACCCCTTTCAACCCCCGTGATTTCATCCGCAGAAAAATTCAGCTGTTTTACTAGTTACAATTACCTACTGCAATATTTATATTGATTTTATGTTTTCTATTTTAAATATTAGTTCCTACTATAGTTTTAATAATGCAGTATGCGCTTAACGATTTATTTTTTTTTGCGATTGTTCATATATGGATTATGAGTCTGTTGAACAACAATAAACATTATTATTATTATTCCTTCTACTTTTAGTAAAAAGTGTACTTACCGAGGAGGAAAACTTCACACCTTTTTTTTAATATTTCCGAAAACCAAATTGTCTTTTTGTTCTTTTCCAAAAAGTAATTCAAACGGTCATTCATTAATTTGTCGAAAATTTTCCTGGATGGGTAGCTCTTTTTATATGTAATGGATTTTTTTCCACGGCAGGCTTTTTTGTAAATATAGCCTGTTCAGTTTTCTACCATTTTCTTTAAATAACCAAATTTTAGGCAGGAATTATATACAATTTGTAATTTTTTTTCTTATAAATGCTTTTTTGTGAAAAATATTAAATATCATAAAATCTGCGCGGGTTTAGGCACAGAAAACCCCTTATGAAAAATTGCACACAACAGACTATCGAATAGAGAAATAAAATAATGGTAATTCCATTTGAAACAAAAATAGTTATGGCATTTTGAAAAATGGAAATTTTTCTATTTTTTTGTGAACACCCTGCTCAACTTTCTCATTACCAAAGTTTTCCTTTTATTCAGATTCACATTATCACAGATTTTGTAGTTGTAGATGACATTACTAACCAAATGTATTTCTTAACTTTAAAATCAATTAAGGTCGCCACGATTTATCAAAGTGGGATTGGCTTATAGAGAGTTATTCGGAAAAAATTAATAATTTGGCAACATTGACAAAAAAACAAATAATGAATAGGTTTCCATGCAAAGGTTAAAAAATGACATCGAATCAACTAAAAATGTACATTTAAAAAAATCAGCTGTGTACTGACACCATAAAAAAGGGACACCCTGATGTACATTCAAAAATAATGTCTGTAGATGAGCGACCATCTATATAGCTGACATTTGTACAAAAGGTTTTTTTTTAATTTTTACCAGGTATTATTATTATTATTATTATACCTCTCTTGTTTTGGGCCCTCAACAGGCATGCGCCCAATTACAGAGTGACCCGCATAATGCTATTTAGAGGTGCCTCTGCAGAAGGTCTGAGCTAGGAAAGATCGACGCACTGTTGCAGGACATTGCATAGGCCCCCTGAACATTTTTCCGAAATCCCCTTAGGTATCAGGGGCCACTCCTCGGGTTCATTTCCACGCAGTCAAAACCTCGGTTCCATTTTAGTTAACACCAAATATAGTATAGACCCGTCAACCTGTTCCGATGTATAAATTCATAATATGTAAACTTCACTATCTCGCTTCCTAGGTGAACCACCCCGACTGTAGCTTCAACACTTAATCCGAACATAAAAAATTCATCAAATAAAACAATAATTCTAAACCAAAAATCTTCCATTGTTACAAAAATCCTAGATTCCAATCATTCCTTTTTCCAAGAAAACCTTCAAATCGTCCATCTTTGTAATAAAGGTTCTTATTCCTTTCCGAACACCTCCATATCCTCCAAGTAAGGTTGATGATAGACACCTTTCCTGCCTAACCCTATTCTAAAGCCATTCAGTACATGTTATCACCCACCTTCAGTAGTGCGACCTTCTGCTTCGTGTACACGTGCTAATCTTCTTTCTCTCCAACCCACACCCTTATTGTCCCTTAAAACAATTTTCCGTATTTCACACAATCAAATGCCTTTTCCAGAGGTACCAGGCACAGACTGACAGTTCTTCCTGGTTCTATTTACCTTTATCCAATTCTTTTTACTACTGCGTTCCTAAACTCCTTCGGAATCCAAATTGATCTTCCCCTACTCCCCCTTCTATTATCCTCCTCAAACTCCTATTCAACACCCTCAACAAAATCAGTGATTCTCAAAAGTACCTACTTGAAATTTTCGTTACCAAGTTACTTCGCATTACCAGACATGCCTTTTCGAATTGCTTAAAAATAACCAGAACTACGCCAAATTAATGGCAGAATAGAAATCACACCAAAGTAGATGTACAAACTTCCGATAGTAGGTGCCTTTGTGTTGCGATACGCGATCACCGTGCCTTTGAAATAAAATGTTTCAGTTACCGTAGCAAAATTGTTATTTTTTTAAACGACGTTTGTCGATTTCAAAATTTTCCAATTTGAAAAGCTATTCTAAATTAATGTGACCTGTATCTTTTTTTAGATCCTTGTTAAAATTGTTGTGTATTTGTGATTAAGAAAATACGAAAAAATGTGCGACAAGAGTGCCCAACGTTTATCTCTGCTGTCCAAGTTGAAGGATCTGGTTTGTCAAATCGACGATAAGTGCTGCCCGCCAAGTTGTTCACCCTGCGGACCACCGTGCGTAGGCCCTGTAATCGAAATTTACGATCCATTACCAAAACCTTGTCTACCTATTTGCAGTCCTTGCGGTCCGTGCTGCCCGCCGTGTGGACCGTGCGGTCCCTGTTGTCCGCCGTGTGGACCATGCGGTCCCTGTTGTCCACCGTGTGGACCATGCGATCCGTGCTGCCCGCTACCGAGCTGTACTCCGGCACCGCAACCAAGTCCATGTCCGGTAATGATGCCGCCGCCACAACCCGTTTGCGTTCCGGGATGTTTGCCAATCTGTCAGCCGGTTCCACCGCCTTGCGTGCCGGTGCAGAACCCCAACCCAGAACCGCAACCGTGCGTTCCGTGTAATCCACCACAAATGATGGTGTGCTATAGAATGCCCAAAGGAAAGAACGGGTTAAAGAATTGCAAGTCCAGGGAGTTAAGGGGCGGTCTTCTTCACGTCGGTTGTGATTGTAAGAAACGTAATGGATTACAAGATGACTGCCCGCGATTACTGTGCCAGGGCGCGCCTAAATGCTTGACTCAGCCACCCTCTTGTTGTCCAGCTCAGTATTCCTGTGGACAACACTTGGGAAAATCGACGAAATCTGACGACTTGGAACAATACCAGTGCTATCCAGCTTATGTTAGGCTGCCTCCGTGCTGTCCGGCCCCGGCACCATGCCCACCGTGTGCACCGGGATGTCCACCGCCATGCGGTCCTCCGTGTCCACCGTGCGGCCCTTGTGGACCGTGCCCGCCGTGTGGTCCTTGTGGACCTTGCCCGCCGTGTGGTCCTTGTGGACCTTGCCCGCCGTGTGGTCCTTGTGGACCTTGCCCGCCCTGTGGTCCATGCGGGCCATGCTGTGTACCACCAGCACCTTACGTACCACTAATACCGGCGCCACCATGCCCGCCACCCGTTTGTGCAGGACCGCCTCCATTAGTGCCAGTCGGTACAATCTTGCCTTCGCTGCCTGTGTGTCCGAGTCCTTGCGCTCCTTGTTGCCCACCGTGTGGGCCTCCAATGTGTCCATGTCCATGTTAATAAAAAATTAGTTTGTCCAAACTGGCATCAATTCGGCATTAAAATATTGCACATACCTGTCTTGCTTTTTTTTAAAAGAGTGCATCCGTTGAAGACGTCCCGAGATTTCTGCCCATTTTAAAAATGGGATGCAAGCGCTTTCTGCTACTGTTGAATATTTATTATCATAATTTTCTGTCTGTAGCAAAGTGATTAAAATGACCCTTTTATGATAAAGGGGTAAATTGTGTGTTGTTGAAATATGTATAAATCTAACCTTAAAATTCTGAACACATGGATAGATGACGCGTACAGAGACGTAGAAGGATCATACTCAAATTTAGTCAGCTTTTAAAATCCATTGCAAACAAGGGTGTGTGGGTCTTTTTCGCCGGTCCAAAAAATAAACTTAGCGTGGTTTTTGTACGATTCTCTCTACAAAACGGAGGAGGGAGAAAACACATCTAATTTTACGGTGCTTCTTTGGAAATCTGTTTATGGTGTTGAACCTTTTTGGCAATTTTTAAGGATTTGCTAAAGGCCATTGAAAATTTTAAAATTTCTTTTATTTTTTACGGAAGCCTCCGAAGAATTCGATGTATTCTGACTTTATCGAAATCTTGTTAAGGTTCTGAAATTAATGGAATACCAAACTTTATTTTATAGCAGAACCCATACAAATCTTCTAACAATTCTGAATTTAATTTAGAGACGTCAAAAATAGCACGCTTAAGTTCTATCGTCGCAATGGTTTCCATAGAAACAGAATTGTCATTTTATATCGTGCATTTGAAATAAGATTGACAGATGTCATTAGAATGCACAGTCATTTGTTTCACTTTACCTACCCTTACGGTTAAAGAGCGGCTTAGCCTACTCATTCAAACCTGTTAAAATGTCAATTTAACATATGCTATAAAATAAACCTACATATAAGATTCAGTCAGTAGCTAAAATATAAATTCAATGTGAATGACATATCTAACTCACTAAAGTTCATGTTATCGTGGCCATTTTAAACATGTCATGTTACTTTTTAGTCATAGTCGTGCTCCATAAATAATACCACGACATCGTAAAATCAGAGACGCCTTTTTGTACCCTTCTGAAATTACAGCTTAGCGCACTGGGCACGAGGAGTCCTTCGAACTCTGTAAAAACGTCGCGTTTAAATTATCGCTCATTTCACTGTCACCTGTGCTTTTTATTCGCGAAGTTTAAGAACAAATTTTTTAATAACATTTATTTTAGCGTGACAACGATTTTTAGATAAGAGGGCATGCAACAGTGGTAAAATATAACTGCAGCCAAATTTATATTGCACGAAATTGCTATTGCGGATTATAAATATGTCGTTTTTGTATATGGCGTGTCTGAAATTTATAAATTGCAAACAAAAAATACCCAAGTACCTACCTATACATTATACTTTTTCTCTAAATTTATAACAAAGAATAATTTCACCAATTTGAAAATATAGCAGCACTTTACAAAACGTCTACAGTGACCAACATGAACCTGGACGACTCTAGCGTAACGATTTCCTTTTTAGCGCATTTTTGCAAAAAATTTTTTTTGTAAAAAGTAGCTTTTAATCTCACTTTGGCTGGCTGGCTGGCTGGCAGTAAATGCGCGCCCGTAGAAAAACGCTTGTAAAAAGACAAGGAGTGTACATGTAACTATCGGGGCCGTGTAATTAAGAACGTTAGGGATGGGGCTACAAGATTTGGAGTCGACGACATCTGGACGCCATCCCCGAGCGTATTATACTAACCTGGAGATTTTTCAGTTTTTATCTATCTTCTTCTACAGTTTTTCTCCGATTGTTTTCAAATTGGTGTCGTCGGGAAGATCTTGTCAACGCGCACAACTCCTGCGTGGCGGAATTTTGTTTTTTTTTCCTAGGGGCGAAATAAACCACCTTTTGCGCGGCGCGCTTCGAGGGGTAGTCGACTTTGGGCGCCCAAAAGTTTCTTACAGCGCGAATCGCGGTCTCTCTTTCTCGTGTCACTAATAGAAGGTCGAGCTATGTGAAGTACCCAAAAGTTGAATACGATTTTATGCCGGGATTTTAGCGAAATCTACCAAAATGTGAATTACGAATGAACGGGACGTCGGAACTGTGTATCGACAAAGGGAATGTGGTAACCCCCGACGAGATCTTACTGATGGTGGAGTCGAAACTTCAAATCCGAATTGTTGCGGGTGATCAGAAGTGGGTGTCGACAAAGGGAATATGGTAACCCCCGACGAGATCTTACTGATGGTGGAGTCAAAACTTCAAACGCGAATTGCGAGTGCACGGTAAGTGAGAAAATGGTACCGACAAAGTGAACGTGGTAGCTTTCGGCAAGATCTTATTGATGGTGGAGTCAATATTGGCTAATAAAACACTGATCTGCCACACAAAAATGCGCTGAAGTCCCTTCGATCTCACACGAGGACTTTGATCATTTTTTCAGGTGCCCCACACTCTCTGCAAAGCTTTTTCTATATAGCTATACCAAACTAAAAGTGATAATGTTATTTAGCGCATTTTAAAAAAAAATACGCTATTATATGCGTTATGCTGGCTGTCTGGCTGGCTGGATTTCCGACTGAGACCTCAGCAATTACAATAGCTAGAGACTTCAACTTTTCATTAAAAGCTTTCTGCTATAGTGTAGGATATGCAGGCTCTAGTCTATTTTGAGTTAGATTACTCGTGAGATTTTCCCCCGCGACTTCGTACGCTCGATATTGATGGATATATGATAACCCCCATACAGAATGTAAACAGATTAACACGACGATAGGGCCCAAGTGACTTGGCGATGCATCGATCGGTATGCGAAATAGTATAGAGTGCGACATCAACGAAAAAAGAAGTTAACAAAAAACCTATAATCCGATTAGACTCAATTGTGAATCTAAACCATCCAGGTACCTACTCACAGAGACACCAATGAATTTAATCAAAATCCGTCCAGCCGTTTAGGGTTCAGTCACAAACACACGTATAGAAAAATTTTATATATAAATATAAATTACAAGAGACCAACAAGTTTCCAAACATATCAGAAAATCAAATTCTTATTTTACAATCTACCAGTGGCGTACCGAAAAACAGTTTAGGGATAGAACATGACCCATGACCTTTTTACTTCATTTGCAGGTATTTGTTTGTGGTTACAATTTCTCAGTTGTGTTTTTGTTATCTTTTTCACTTATACTGACTTTTCGTTACATTCTATGAGATCCTCAAATCATTGTCCTTTTGGTAGTGATGGACGTCGAGAGGTTGATGGTTAGTAAGCTATCAAAGGTTTTCAGTCGATGGATGCTCTGCTATTGGTAATTCATTGGCTCACTCATTTGTTTTTTTAACAATCAGTGCTTGTTCAGCTGCATAGTTGCCTAGCCGTTAAGCGGACGTAGGGTCATCTACAGTCTACCTCCAAGTTGTTAGTTGCTCGATGGTTATAGTTGCTCATTTCTTTAAAGATGAAACTTTTTGTATTTTTCTGAAATGTATCTCGAAATCAGTTGAAAAATGACTTTCGCACATTAAAGGTGTTGTTTGAGATGTGAGTCTGTGATAGATCCGGTTCTACACTCCATCATCTGGAAAAATATGAAAACATTAATTCGATTTTCAAACATAAACATGCCGAACAAACGGAACATTTGTTTGCTATTAAGCTGAGTAGTATAGTATATACGATTTTATTTATTTATTTATTTTTTTGGTAGGTGGGGAAATGCTCCTTATGCACACTCCAGGTTGAAAGGTCTGGAGTAGTGTGGGGCTCTCCCTTACTCGGGTATACCCACTAAAACCCCACCTAAGGCTTCGGCTTCTATGGCCATTTGCCTATTTGCTCAAAATATCACAGACTTCGTTCTAATAGAATATTACATACAGGTAGGTCGACTCACAATACAATATTTTCGATATGACAAAGTTGGTAACTGACAGACAACAATAAATAACAATTAAATAGACAGCCATTATATCACAGTTTGTGCAACATTTCCACACTTTGGAAAAATCCTATCCCCCTTCGACACCGTTCATCGCTGTTAAAGTTACCTTCCCATATCGGGCATATCCCGAAGTTGTCCCGTATATCTTTGTATCGTGGACAGTTACAAAGTATGTGCTCTAGTGTTAAATTAACCTCATAGTTCGCACATAGGGGTCTAGGTTTACCTTCCAGCAAGGCGCTATGGGTTAATGCGGTGTGCCCAAGTCTAATTCGAAACATCTTCACGAATACAAACCGACCCTCGCCAAGAAGAAATAGCGGCCCCAAATCGGGTTTGACCCTTTTCAAAAATGAATCGGACCTCGCCCATAGGTCGCCCCAACGCTCATACCCCCGAGCCCTGACGAGTGTACGTCGGGTTACTGTTGTCTCATTTGCAACATCAAGGTCATTTAGTTGTAGATACGTTAGATCCTCTCTAGCCCTTTGGCTCAGCGTTCTGCACCTCGACGCGGAACTGCGCCATTCATATTTCAGTCGCAAGTCATCCTGACTAGTGAACCCAAGACATATTGAATTTTAATGTAATTTTCGACACATTTAAAGTCCCTCATATATTCGAATTTTTAAAAACGGTGTAGGTACCCTGTAGAGATAAATCTAAAGTTCCCTTCTTTTGGCCAACATTTTAAATTTAGGGAATTTACGAACTGACCACAAAACCTTTGGGCATAGACAACGACACGAACTAAATCTGGGAGTACAGGGTGCCTAACTTTATATGACCGACACATTTTCTAAAACCTATATCCAATTTCGTTTTTGAGGTACAGGCAGAAAATTAAGATTTGCCAATTTCGACTATGCAATCAGGATTCTAATAGATTTTGTTACCGAGATCTTACTGATGCGTGAAGAATCAAATTTAAATCAAGCTTTTATTTCCTGTGGGTGTTTGCAATCGCCACAAATTTAAATAATAAATAAGTATTAGGAAATAAAATAAGATAATAATTCATGCTTGATTGCATCTGCTTCATTGCGCTTGATGCCTCTAGGGCGGAGTATGCCAAGGATAGTCATTGTATTTGAAGTTAAA